ATAGAATTTCGTACAAATGTGCATGACTAAGGGTATTTATTTGAACGCGTAGATGACCGAGACCAAGAAGAAGCTAGAGGACGACGTCGGGACAATGGAGGGGCTGGAGGAGGTGAAGAGGAAGCTGCAGAAGGACATGGAGAACACAGCCCAGCGGCTGGAGGAGAAAGCCATAGCGTTTGACAAGCTGGAGAAGACCAAGACCCGCCTGCAGCAGGAGCTGGACGACCTGACAGTGGATCTGGACCACCAGAGACAGACAGTGTCCAACCTGGAGAAGAAGCAGAAGAAGTTTGACCAGGTGAGACTCTGTTGTTGATGGGGATATTCAGCCTTAGTCCTTGTTGCACTAAGTTATGCCTGGATAATCTTAACAGTACAGCTCGGGATGAGATGAAACAGGCACGCATTTCAGACCTTTAGGACATTTCGCCCATGTATATTCAAAGCCAATGGAATTATGAATACAAAATATCTAAGCCAATGGAAGCATGAATACAATATATCTAAGCCAATGGAAGCATGAATACAATATATCAAAACCAATGGAATCATGAACACAAAATATCTAAACCAATGGAATCGTGAATACAAAATATCTAAGCCAATGAAAGCATGAATTCAAATTATCTCAAGGGTGGGAATTTGAATGTGACCCAGTTCTAAGTCCGTGTCTCTTGCTGTGGCTGCCTGACAGATGTTAGCAGAGGAGAAGAACGTGTCAGCTCGCTTTGCAGAAGAGCGGGACCGGGCAGAGGCTGAGGCCCGTGAGAAGGAGACGCGGGCCCTGGCGCTGACCCGTGCACTGGACGAGGCCCTGGAGTCCAAGGAAGAGCTCGAAAGGCTCAACAAGCAGCTGCGTGCAGAGATGGAGGACCTTATGAGCTCAAAGGATGACGTAGGAAAGAATGTAAGTACCATCCACCTCTTGTGGGCAAATGAAGCTCGGCGGTGACCCTGTGTGAAGAGTGTGTTACCTGGGCAGATGTTGATGAAGTGCATTACCTCTGTAGGTCCATGAGCTGGAGAAGTCCAAGCGAGGCATGGAGCAGCAACTGGAGGAGATGAAGACCCAGCTGGAGGAGCTGGAGGACGAGCTGCAGGCCACTGAGGACGCCAAGTTGCGGTTGGAGGTCAACATGCAAGCCATGAAGGCCCAGTTCGAGCGTGACCTTCAGGGCAAAGACGAGATGGGCGAGGAGAAGAAGAGGCAGCTGGTCAAGCAGGTGAGGCACCCTTGTCCTTTCAGCCACCTGCCTGCCAGTTGTATTTTAAGCGATGCTCCTACTTTTTCGCAATCAAGGTGCGGGAGCTTGAGGCTGAGCTGGAAGACGAACGCAAGCAAAAAGTGCTGGCTGTGGCCGCCAAGAAGAAGATGGAGATGGACCTCAAGGACCTGGAGGCTCAGATTGAGGCGGCAAATAAAGCCCGTGACGAGGCTATCAAGCAGCTACGCAAGCTCCAGGTCGCAACATCACTCCATCTCTACAGTAATAACATCCAGCTCATGCAAGTTTAACCTACACAAAAATGTTCTGAGGGCAGAAGGAAAAATGACTGGTTCAGAGAGATAACCAATCAGAATGTAGAGGAGGTGGGACCAAGACATCTGATTGGTTTGACCCACCTCCTGTACAATCTGAACCAATAATTTTTCCTTCTACCCTCAGAACATTTTTGTGTAAGTAAAACTCCCATGAGCTAACATCTAACCGTCCCACACCCATAATCGCGCTGCTTCTATTTCCATTATGCGGGACATTAATGTGACTCCGGTCCCTCTCTACAGGCTCAGATGAAGGACTACCAGAGAGAGCTGGATGAAGCTCGGGCCTCCCGGGACGAGATCTTTGCCCAGTCGAAGGAGAACGAGAAGAAGCTTAAGAACTTGGAAGCTGAAATCCTGCAGCTGCAGGAGGTCTGTTCCTCATCCTCCTGCCACATGATCTTGGAAGGTTTGGCTCATGTGGGCTCATTGTGACCTTTCCGTGACCTTTGGCAGGACCTGGCTGCGTCCGAGAGGGCCCGTCGGCATGCCGAACAGGAGCGGGATGAGTTCGCAGACGAGATCGCCAACAGCGTTTCTGGAAAGTTAGTGACCTTTTCCTCACACTTAATCCAGTCCAGTCCTGTGGGGTTCATAGGTCATCGTACAGGTCAGCTCCCAGCTGTGAACATTTATGCATGTGTGCCTGAAGGTCGGCCTTGCTGGAGGAGAAGCGAAAGTTAGAGGCACGCATCGTCCAGCTGGAGGAGGAGCTGGAGGAGGAGCAGAGCAACATGGAGCTCCTCAACGATCGCTTCCGCAAGACCACGATGCAGGTGAGCTCCATGACGACCCTTCCGGCACGAAGACAGGACCGGCCAGGAGTTGGCAGGTCAAGACCAGAAGACCTGCCATTAAAATCTACCTAATTTGCTTACCGTAACTTATTTCATGAGCCTAGCTTTTTAGGTTCCTGCTCGTTTACAAACTGAGCTCCCTCCCACCCAAAAAGGTGGACACCCTCAGCATGGAGCTGGCCGGGGAGCGTAGCTCTGCCCAGAAGAGCGAGAGTGCCCGGCAACAGCTGGAGCGGCAGAACAAGGAGCTGAAGTTAAAACTGCAGGAGTTAGAGGGTGCAGTGAAGAGCAAGTACAAGGCCGCTATCGCCGCCCTGGAGGCCAAGATCGCCCAACTGGAGGAGCAACTGGAGCAGGAAGCCAAGTGAGGCTTTACTCCGTCTGTAACTAAAACACAGGCAACAGTACATACAGTGGCATTTGGCGGAAAAATAACAGCTCAATTACTATTTGTCGGCAGATTGTTTTTCACGTTACATAAAACCTTGTTACCTTCCTCCCCCACAGGGAGAGAGCAGCAGCCAACAAGACGGTGCGTCGCACGGAGAAAAAACTGAAGGAGGTGTTCATGCAGGTGGAGGACGAGCGTCGCCATGCTGACCAGTACAAAGAACAGGTGAGGTGTAAGAACAAACATCAATACACCACAGTAAATAATAAAGACACTGAGTTGCTTCAGAAAGCCATTTACTGTATGACTAATTCATCCTTGGTCGCTTTTAACAACGCAAATATTCCAGCCAGTGGCTGCTGCCAGTCACTCCTTACATCTCCCCCCCGCCCCAGATGGAGAAAGCCAACTCCAGGATGAAGCAGCTGAAACGGCAGCTGGAGGAGGCCGAGGAGGAGGCGCAGAGGGCGAACGCCAACCGCAGGAAGCTGCAGAGGGAGCTGGAGGACGCCACGGAGTCCGCTGACGCCATGAACCGCGAGGTCAATGCGCTGAAGAGCCGCCTCAGGTAGCAGGACACACAAAAGCCTTTCACACAACGAATGTAAACACGTCCCGGTAGTCATGTGACCGCAAGTGATCCTCTTTCAGGCGAGGAGGGCCAATCAGCTTCCCCTCTGGCCGCACGGGCCGGCGGGTGACCCAGGTGGAGGGGGCCTCCCTCGAGCTGTCGGATGACGATGGCACCACTAGTGACAGCAAGGCCAACGAGGTGAACGAGGCATCAACGCCTTCTCCCCAGGGCGAGTAGGGGGCCGCTGCAAAGTACAGCCATGCGCTCCAAACTCCTCCCCTTTCCCCCACCCCACCGGTAGGCCAGCAATTGTGCGTTAGGGTGGTCCTCCGGCAACAAGGGGGCAGCACCACACTCCCACCGTACTCTGTAAGGCTCAGAAAAGCATTGATCTCTTCTTTGTTAATGTCATCTAGCCTTGGGATGACACTCTGCTTTCTATAAAAATTAAGTGCATTTTAAATATTCCATGTATCTGTACACACATAGATACAGTGTGATTTTCTTATAATAATGTGAAAATATTTCCTAAATAGCCCTGTTGTACAACCTGTCCATTTATTGAATATGTTCATATGAAAAAGGCTTATTTACAAGCAGGATAACCTTACATCTGTAACTGCATGCGGCTTCATATGCCAACCATTAGCCTCTGTCATAAATACAATTAAAACCAGAGTTATTTGTAGTTGTTTGACGTGCTTGGACCTCTGTTCGACAGAAACATTCCGACCGCAAACAAAAGTGATTTCCAAGGGATTTTCCCAACAAAAGCTGCAGTTGGCTATTTAAGAAACCAGTGTCGTTTTCCATGGAACAGTGTCACGTGTTAATTCCTGCACAAAGCCACGTTTATCAACGTCTTACTGATGCTATGAGGAGCACATTTGCATGGCCAATCCGCCCCACCCGCATCCTGCGCATTTGACTGATAATGATGCAACTCGCGTCAAAGAAAATGCGACTGCAGGAGCGGAGCCATGCGGCTCACCACTGAGCGCGCTCAGTGCCCGTTATATTATTCAGACTTTGGGTGCTTGAAAAGTGCCACGTGTACCAAGCAGAGAGCCCAGTTATGTTCATGCGCGAAAGACGTTTCCTGAAAGTGCCTTAGAGATGATGCAAGACAGAATCTGGAATGCGTGCGTATGCTTACACATATAAATCACCCATTTATGGAAAAATCTGAGTGAATGTGTCAGCTTTGGGCTGCCTAGAGACCTGCCTGACCACAGCGTGTCCTGCGAGGTCCCCCAGGGCCGTACTCTGTGTGCTTCACTGTGCACCCGGCTACCCAATTTAGCTGAGGCTGTAGGGCTGTAACAGGCAGCTGCAGAAATTGAGCACAGCAAGACTTCCCAAGACCAAATGTGAAAACGACCACACCCTTACCTGTTCAAACTGTCCCATCGCCTGCCGTTTGGTTAAAAGCTTTAACGTCCGAGGCTATGCTTATTTAGGCTGCTGACATTTAGTCCCTCCGCTTACATTCTTTCCTGTACGCCTGTGTTTCTAGAAGAGGATTTTTGTAAAAGATAATAAACTTGTTCATTATAGAACCTCATCATTTCACATTGTGTGTGCAAGTTCATATGGGTCCAAAAACTGTTAATTTCTCGAACAGTTCACTACACAAATCAAATAAAATGAACTTTATAACAAAAACAAAGAGAGAAACTGCGACAGGGCATGTAGAAGCACAAATGCACAGATGACAGTGTTTCACCCATTTATTGCCTTGCATAGTTCATTACAGTCTAAGGCTGGCTGTAGACTTCTAGGCACATCTCACCTTTCAGTGAGGAACATAATGACAAAATAAAAAAAAAAACAATTCAAGTAGGACACAAAGCGTGATGTGATCCTGTCCTGGGAGACTGTGTTAGACTGGGAGCAGAAAGGGAAACACCAACACCTAAACTGGACCTGACGAGGCAACAAATACACATAGAAAACATACAGACACGTTTCTGAGTGTAAATTAGCAACAGTCTATAGCCAAATTGCACTTGAAATCCGTCGTATGGTAGACATGGGGGGGGAGGATTAAAGTAAAATAAACAGAAACAAAATTGCAAGTTGCATACAAAGACTGATAAGCACAAAGATGAAGTGGACAGAGGTGTCAGCGGTGAAACACATTGCACATTCTCTTCTCCCTCTTCTCTCAGCCATTGGTAAAAAATAATAGTTTTGAATCCATTCCAAAAGCAGTCCTTAGCGATATTCAATTATATTACCAGTTTTACATGAAAAGCAAATAATTTTCTGGAGTTGTCTCATCGCACTACATCTTACCCCATTTTCATCACTTCCGCTTGCTCGAGGTATCCTTCTTTCTGATTGGGTGAAGCCCCAGCTTCTCACACATTGCCATTTGTTAGCTCCACTGTCTGTCAGTACTGTCCTCCTTCCTGATTGGTCCAGGGCCGTACGGCCCTTTCTGCATTCAGTGCAAATTCCTCTTGGTCTCTCCTCCCTGAGTGGGGCTGACATCTGGAGAGTAAGCAGGGGGGGGGAAAGACAGATTGTCTACATCAAACAGACAAAACTATGCTGGACAATCATGTAGCCACAACCTGAAAGACTCTGAAGCGAAGGATGGAACAGGGTTCTATGTGAGAGCCCATCGCGAGGGACAGAGACCCTGGGGCGTACCAACTGCTCTGGGCAAAGGGGGGTGGGTCCGCTGTCTCCGGGGGGGGGGGGGGGGTAGTTATGTGTCGGGGGGGCCTGCAATTACATCCCAGGAATCATGGACAGTGGGCCTGGTTTCACCAATGGTGAGAACAAGTGGAAGGACGAATTAACAGGAGGAAAAGTGTGCTACAGGGAAACACAAGCGAACGCATGCAGACACTGCAGGAGCAGAGCATCATGGGTGAGGGACAACATGTATGCGCACACACACACACTTCAGCGGGTTTTACCAGAGCAGTAAGACTCCCGCTGACACGCACAGCGAATAAACGCCTCAGACGCCATTCAACACTCAGCCTCATTTCCGTCCTATATAAAAAGGCATGAAACACACTGATCAAACCTCATTTACGTCCATGTCGATAATCTCAAAGCCACAGCAAAATCACCAGTCATAAATCTACCTAAGCAGTTACAGGGCAAAGTGATCAACTAAATACAGACTTTCAACGTACAATAATACTTCAAAATAGTGAACTGCATAGAGAAATGATGTCCTTATGTCCCCGATGTCTGGTAATAATAACGTATAACAGTCAGCCTATTAACACGCTATAAAAGCAGATCTCACACTGGCTTAGTGTCTCAAGTCAACCATGATTGTTAAATTCTCCTCTTAGGCCCCATCTAACTTGGTTTTAAAACGCGTCTTGTGTGCTCGGATCACAAGTGGACAGCGATAAATACAAGTGTGAACAACCACCAAGACACATAGTGATCCGCTCACCCAAGCCACTTCCTGAGGCGGTCTGGGACGCCTGGAACCGATGCGTCTGCGGCGGACAGTAACAAAACCCGAACAGAAGCGGTCAGCCGGACACCATGGCGACACTGGAGTAAACGATGCATCTCAGCTGTCTGCTCATGATGCGATCGCCCAAGACGCATTTTAACCCAAAGTGTAAACGCCGCCTTATTGTTTTCGGCTGATCACCATGGCAAACTCACTCTGAGTCGGGCTGAATCCTGAGCCGGCTCCCAGCACCGTGCCGTTCCCCCCGGTGGGATTCCCCGCGGTGGCCGGGCTAAGCAGGGAAGGTGGGAACTGGAAGGGCAAGGAGACGGGAACCAGACCCCCCAGAAGGCCGAGGCCCAGGGAGAGTGGGGGGGGCCCAGGGCCCAGCAGAACGCCCCCCGCGGAGGAGCCCTGTGGACAGGGGACAGCGTCAGGCCGCTGCTCGGCACTCATACCTCTGCGGCTCGTCGATCAATCGCGCGACACGACTGCGGCGACTTCAGCGACACTGGATCAGACAGTCCCTTGAACAATCAGGGGGGGTAAGGATGTTGCTCAGGGACCCAGTGGCGAAATAACTCTGCCGATCACGGGACTTGAACCAGCAACCTTCCAATCACAGGTTCTTAACCACTGAGCCAAGCAACTCCCCTATTATTTTTTTACCGAAACAAATTCACATATATAAACAGATAATATATAACCATTCATCACATTAACTACTGTACCTGCGACAGATGAGAGGTAACAGGGCCACTCAGACCTGCAACAGACACAAGGCCAACGCCTGACTTGGCCGTCTGACTGGACCCGCCCCCGGCTCTCATATGCTGTCCGTGATTGGTCGACACGACTGCTGGGGCAGAGCTGGAGACCACATGACTCGAAACGGGCATGGTTCTCGCCGAACTTGCGGAGACGCTGCCGTGGAGGGGGGCGCTCTGCACTCCGGTCGGGCTGTAGCCAGTCTGTCCAGCACTAACCTGGGGGGCAGGAGCAGGCGGCCGGGGGCTCAGCTTGATGATGGGAGGGTTGTTGCTGTGTGAGGATTTGGTGAGCGTGGCCTGCATAGGGGTGATGAAGTTAGAAATGCTATTCTGGTGCGGGCTGGGATTTGGGGGCGGCAACGAGGATGATGAGGTCTGAGGAGCAGTGGAGGTTCCTTTGTGGAGAGAAGAATGCGGCGTTTTAAGAGAACTTTTATGGTTCAAGTGGGGAGAGGCAAGTCCACTCAGCCGAGCCTGAGGAAAGAGACTGCGGCTGGTACTGCTGCTGCCATAGCTGGATTGGTTACTGCTTTTGACTGGGCCAGGTGAGGGCGTGGCCAGCACAGGCTTTGGAAGGGAGAGTCCGTTTAGGGGCGGGGCTAGCCGAGATGAAGGCGGGGACCGGCCTGGGGAGGGAGTGGTTTGCCCTGAGGAAGGTGTGACCAACCCGTGTTTTATCGCAGGCTTACAAAAAGCAGTCTGCTGGGGGGGTAACAGACAGGCAGGATTCGCTGGCCTTGGTTTAGGTGGGGAGAGGGACCCAGCTGGATTGGGCTTGGGTGCCGGCGTGATAGTGGCTCCTCCCTTTGGGGCGGAGCAAGGGAGGGAGACCAGCGCAGGGAAGCTGGAAAGGGGCGGAGCCACTGGAGGGCCGTCGCTTTGGGCCACACCCTTAGCAGCATCGCCCTGGTGGGTGGGGCCACGGGACACGTCCGACGGGGGGTCTTGGTCTTCATCCTGGGAGTCCGAGAGGCAGATCGTCTCCATGGGGGTGGCGCTGGACTGGCAGGGGGCTGGAGCTGAAGGAGGCGGGGCCACTACTGGGGGGGGCTGGTTCCAAGAAGCAGAGAAGACTATTAAAGAAGAAACAACAGCGTCACACGCAATTTAAAGGGACAAGACACATTACTCACCTTGGGCTTCACTTTCTTCTTCTTGCCTCTGGGGAGGGAAGACATGTTCATATAGGATTAAACCATCCACAAGTAAACGAGAAACCAAATTAAAGTTAAATGACCTGCACACATGCTACGTGTATTTACCAGGTGGGATTTTCTAACTTATCAATAATCAGGAACTTATCAAGAACTGTCCAGCACTAATTTCAATCAAATTACTTTACATGTAATATCACGGTACAGGTGAGTGAAAAACAAGTGCAAGTTCACAACAGGGGTGAAGTAGTGCAAAAAATAATAATAGTGCAAATAGGAAGTACACAAAAAATACATATACATCATACATAAAAAAGAATGCGAGAAACTCACAAGTTGCCAGTAAGGTGACTGTGAACAAGTCTGCTTTCCTTAAACAGCATCCTGTGAAAGACGGATGTAGGTCACACATCACATGAGCATCTGCACAGGGTGGAAAGCAAGGGTTTGCCAGGAACTGCAGTAAATGTGGGCATGGGGGGGGCGGAGCCAAGGGAACTACATAAATAATGGACTGGACTGCGCCCAACTGACCTGGACTGCATCCAACTGACCTGGACTGCATCCAACTGACCTGGACTGCATCCAGCCCTTGGGCCAAAGGGGCTTGACCTCGGTCTCCATGAAGGCCTTCAGGTAGTCCTCCGCAGACAGCGGCCCCCGCGGCTCCTGCGCATAACAGGCCAGCTTCACGCGCACCAGGTTGCAAAGCAGGGTCCTGGCAAACGACCACGACAGTCGTCATAACGCCGGCCCATCCACCCCGTCACAAATCCGCCGCGGTTCTTTCGGAAGTGTGGCGCAGGCACAGCGCTGCCATCTTGTGGCCGGCAGCACTAAGCGAACGCGCCGCACCTGAGTCTGTCGTCCCAGATGAACTTCTTCCGCAGGCCTGCCGCTTTGCGGCCTGGTTTCTCCTCGTCCTCCTCCTCGGAGGCGTTCCTCTCCAGCCCCTCAGACTGTTGCCTGCAGGAGACAGGCGACAGGCTTTCAGACTTCCGGCCAGAGCGGCCGGTCCCGCGGTCCCGCGCCCCCATTTCCCGGGCGAGACGCACTTGGCGGCTTTGGCGTCGAGGTCCATGTTGTATTTGGCGATCTGCGCGGGCATCGCACTGCACACCGCCAGCTTCAGTCGCAGCAGTGGCATTTTCACCTGGTCGTCCTGCCAGGGGGGGGAAGGGGGGGAGACGCAGGAAATGACACTGAGGCGCACGCCCTTGCCCAGATCGGTGGCGGCGCAGCCGCGCTCTGCCGTTGGCACTCACCTGCGCAGCTGGGCTAGCCTGCACGCAGCTGGAGCCGGCCTGCACGCAGCTGGAGCCGGCCTGCACGCAGCTGGAGCCGGCCCGTGTGCTGTTGCTGAGTTTCTTAAGTCGCTTCAATAGCGCCCCCCTGCTGCAGGGCACGAATGCCTCTAGGTGTGAGTAGACAGCAGAGCGCACAGACATGGGGTGCTTCTGCACCTGCAGCTCAATGCTGGGTAGACAACAGGGGGGGGGGGGCGGGAGGCTCTGGGTCAAGCTATGAATGGCAGCTGACCCCCTAAATGCCAGCTGCATAATTACAGTTACTAAGCGATGCAGGTACCTGCAGACCACAACCGGACAGACTTACTCCAGAAGGACGTTGTTCATCTCCAAAGTGAAGAATTTCTTCCTCCCTTCCTCATCGAACTGACGAGATGCCTGACAAGACATGCGCTGCTTTGAGATGCCGTGACACATGCTACCCACAATGCAACAGGGCCGTACCGCAATCACCATTACATCACAGGACCACCCTCACTGTAAAACCTGTCACTGGTTTTCCCCCTCCTTCGCAGAGGTGGTCATTTCAGGTCCAGAAAATCCAACTGGACCAGACCAAGATTTTGATTCAACCAACCAGTTGAGTACAGTGTGTCACAATCAGGAAGTATTGAACCGGTTGGTTGAAACAAAAACTTGGTCTGGATTTTTACTTTCTGCACCTAAAATATCCACCTCTGATTACTGGCTTCATAACACGGACCAGGGGAAGGTGTTACTGCGTTTGTCTGAAAGGAATCGGTGGCACTACTGGAGGATGTCATTCTGAGACATACCACTCGGAGATCTTCAATGCGCTTCACGAGGGAACCAGGCAGGCCGCTGGGGAGCGTTGGAGGTTTCAGGAGGCCAGCACTCAACCCTTGAGGCCCCTGGGCCTTCGGTAAGACAGCCCCGCACGACTTCTGACCCACCCCTGCTACTGGAAGTCCGTTCTCCCCCTGGACAGAACTAGGGGGCAGCGGACGGTCCAGTTGGGACAGGTCAAGGTCACCCACAAGGTTCTGCAGCAGGGGGCTGCCCTTGGTCGAGTGCAGCAGCGACATCAAGGCGGGGTCTAGCGACAGGTGGGTGGAGGGAGGGGTCACATGGGGCACGGGGTGGGGGTGGGGGTGTGGAGGCACGCGGGGCGCTGGTGTCCCGTTTGGGGTCCGGCACCCTCCGCTGGAGCCCTTGTCCGGTGTGAGGCGGCGGACCATAGCGGCCAGACTGAGGGAGTCTTTCATCAGCTGTTTCCGCTTTTTCTTCTCCGGTCGATGGGCATTCAAAGACAGAACTCTGTGGGAAGAGAGAGAGACAAAAAAAAGAATATACCCGCATCTCGAAAGACTAAGACATAGCTGAGGGGCAGCTGGCTGTTTCCTTTTCTGCTCCCTCACCTCTGTTTGGGCTCTTTGACCTTTTTGACCTTCTTTTCCTCCGCATTGCTACCATCTTGCTTCTTCTTCCTTTTCCTAACCACTCGTTCCTCTCCGCCTTTCAGCTTCTAAGGCCAAGCAATAAGCACGCGTTTCGATTAACCCTTTCCACAGCCCCGAGACGCGTCGCGTACTTCATTAAGTGCCGGGTGAAGGTTTCAGTCAAATGTCCAGTCTGTAAAAAGCTTAGCATGTGGAAACAAAGCATGTTTCTTTGGCACGTTTTTTTTGCCCGGGGTCCGTTCAGAAGGTAGCGCGTTTCTTGCCTGGAAGCCTTTTTTTTCTCTTCCAGCTTCCTCCCCTTCAGATTCAGAAGCTGCCCGGAACTGCAGGGTCCCAGTGTTGATGTAGAATCCTCCGAGCTTGGTGGTTAGGGAGGCTGGAACCAGCTCATCATACTGAAAAGAGGGGCCAGTTTAAAGGCACACAGTTACTGGAAATAACGGCACACCATACAAACGCTCTGCAACTTTAGGTGAATACGCAGGGCAATTTTTTCAGCAATGTTGCCGGGCAACGCCAACCAAGTGAGACAAAGAGCAACTCATCTGAATTGGGATGATCTCAAAAAGTTGCCCACTGTCAATCAAAGGTTTTCAAATAGAAATCTGCTGCCCAATATCAATGGAAAAGTCAGCAACATTGCCCGGCAAGATTGATGAAAAAATTGCCCTGTTTATCACCTTTAGACGATTAGACAAACACCTAGTAAAGAAAAAAGCAAGAGGCCAAATAGCCGAAGAGCTCAAGCTTGATTCTGTGCCTCATTTCCTGCAGCCTCTTTCACCTTGAAGGGTTTCATTTGGAATAATGGTTAAGAACATTAGCTTATTCTGCCATTTGCATATTCTGAGGAAAATGGTGCTGCGCCATTGAGAGTACTGGGCCTAAACTGGTTATATGCAATAATTCAGCTACAGCAGGGAGTTTGGTGACAGATTAGCATTATTTGTGATGTTCCACATGGGGTTGGAGAGGCAGGGGGGAGTCGATTAGGATGTGTCGAGTGTCTGCAATCGAGTGCCAAGCGAGCAGAGCAACGGTGCAGATGCCGTTCTGTGTGGCATACAAGGCCAACGGGCGAGGAGGCAATGTGCCGGGAACTGCGAAACGCCCTCCATACAGGGAGGGCCTGTGGGGAGCCATGAAGACGCCATATGGAACTGCAGCGCTAGAATGGGGAAACTGGTGCAAGACTGGAGGGGCTTTATGGTAAAACGAGAGGGAGGTTGTGCACAAAATGTATTAGTATGTTAAACACTGCGTTTTGCGGAGATTAGCAGAAAACAGGCATAGTCAGCAGTTAAGTAATGACAATCAAAACCAAATCAATGACGAAGTACTAACAGCTTCTGAGTTGTCTATAAAGGAGTCACTTTCGTCATAGCCGAAGCCGATGTCAATCAGGTCCTGCATTCGGTCTGTCCTTCTCCTCCTACTAGAAGTGCCCTGCAATGCAAAGAAGGGAAAGAATTAAGACATAAAATTAACCCAAAAATTTAATTGTGACAATGCTTGGAATCACTATACAACTTTGTAATCGCTTGAAGATAGTATACATATACATGACCACTGATTTTGGTACTCTGAACAGCTTGGTACAGGCATTTGCTAGAAATGTCCGATTGTTCACTTAATGACATTAACAAGTTTGCCCAACTCATCCAAACTACTGCTGAAGGAGGTGAGAGAGGCTTTCAGACTCACGTATTTGCTCTCGAATTTCCTGGCCAGCCCCTCAACTTCTCGTCTCTCCCTCTCCTCGTCTGCAAAGGGGTCACTTGGGTCAAAGGCAGGTGTGAGTCTTTCAAGGGGCTTTCTTGTCTTGGAAGGAGAATCGTGCAAGAAAAAAGGCAAGGCGAGAAGAGGTCGGGACCAGTGTGGAAGAATAAAACCAGCCTCCACCGTCACGCAGAATGCACATTTTCATTCAAGTTAATTAAACTGCTGTTTTTATTCATCGTCTAACTCGAAGTATTGCGAAATCATAAACGGGAGAGATATTACTTGTGTGGTTAGATACAATACTGCAGATCAGATTTTAAAATGTTTTTTAATGCATGACATCGACTCTAACGACATTTTCGCCCATCAAACTAACTTACCTCGGAGGACTGGACCAGCTCCGCGTAGCTGAACTCGGCGGATCGCCGAGCGCTGGGCTCGGAGAGGCGGAGGTTGAGCCGCACCGTGATGCGCCTCGGGCCGCCATCGCCCCTGTCACCGGCCGCATCGGTACCTGGCAAACCGGAGCTGACCCCGGCCCCAATCTCCGCACCCCCAGACCGCCCATTTATCCCGGGACATTCTACGGCGTCGGCCTCCAGTCGGGGGTTCCGTGGGTCGGCGGCTGCTGCGGAGCTAAAAGCCGACACGGTCACAAAGGGTACTTTCCTCGGTTCGGCCATTTGGACCGTTAATGTGAGAACCGTCCGCCTCACCGCAGCGGCAGCCGCAGAGACCCCACACAGATAAACTGGTCTATATTCTGTTTTGGGGGCTACAGTTTTTGTATTAAAATACGTAATTGCTGGTACAACTCGAATGTTTATCCATTCACCGTCCACACTAAGTTCTGAAAAGTTCTTTAGTGCAAAGAAGTTATATTCTGGGCAGATGTATCCAGTGCCGAAGCTTCTGAGATAATCAAGGAAGCCATCTTGCATTTCAGGAGTAAATAAAATGATTGATGGAGGAAGTCACTGGGCATGCGCACTGACCAAGGGCGGGGAAAGTGCCGAACTCTGCCGAACTCTTCAATTCCGCTTCACGCCGTACGAGACGTAGTAAACAAAATTAAATGCATGATAACGAAAAGATAAACACAATACCATTCAGACTGTTGGGAGGTAGTGTGACTATTAATTTTATATGAGAAAAGCTACATTTATTTTAAAAATTCAGTAAATACGTATTCTGGTTAAGAAATTTGATTGCTGAGTTTGGTAAATGGATGGAATGGAAAAAAATAAGTATGATCTATCATTTCATTGGATGAATGTAAAATTATGTTTAAACAAAATGCTTCATTTCAACACGCGTGTTTGCACACGTTTTATTTTTCACCAGAAGGCGGCATCATGAGATTATGATCTGAGATTAAAAATGGTTAGGAATGTTTAATGAATTCTAATTAATTCATGCTTTTTAAAATAATTTTTTAAATCATTTTAAACTCCATTCTGATTTTGATGAAAAATGAAGAAAATTAAAACGTATATTACTTTAAAAAGAATGACACATTAATCTTAGCCTGATGTCCTGAAACAATAGGACAGTATAGCCAAGCAAATACTTTACATCAGTGTTTCCCTATCCAGTCCTCAGAGACCGGCCTACAGTCCAAAAATGTGGGCTGTCTGGCAGGGAGCTGGGAGGGAGCAAAAACGTGGACCGTCAGTGTGTCCCCTATGACCGGGATGGGGAACACTGCTTTGCATAATCATTATGCAAAGAGCTCTGCACATTTTTGGGTTTCCCCTCATTTAACACACCTGATTCAACTCCTTGTGCTAATTACCATGCAGCTCTTGAGCTGAATCATTTGTGGTGGAACAGGGAAAGAACTAAAGCTACACATTATATACTTGTGTAAAAGTAATGTTTCACTTTTAACCCAAAAACACTTTAGTTTATACCTGTTGTACACTGGCTCACTTCAGAATAGGAGTGATGGAAAGAGGCGGGAAACTCAAAGTCTCCATTAGGTCTTTCTTCCTGGTGTGCAGTGGAAACTAAATCCTCATAATTACTCAATGGTGAGTGATCTGTTAATAGACTGTATTGTTTGCTGTCTGTGGGATCATCTTCTTGTGGAGTTTGGACATACTGATCTTGTGATGGAAAAGAAAATTTTAATAAGCTTGAGAGATTCCTTGAGTAATTATGAGGATTTTGTTGTGTTCCACTGCACACCAGGAAGAAAGACCTAATGGAGACTTTGACGATGCTACGATTGAGCATGAAGTCTGTTCCATTTCTTCAGTTTCAGATTAAGAGCAGTCAGTAAAAAAACAACCCTCCTTAATTATTGTTTTCTTTTTTGTTCAATGGATAAATGCTTAATGCTAATGTATTAAATGTGACAAAACACGTAATCAAGCAATTCAGCTGCGGTACATTTGCTATGTCCCACGGTGCACTGCCTAAATCACACTATACAACTTATTTATGTATTAATATGTGTTATCAATTAACTGTCAATATGTATGAAATGGAGTGATGGCATGTAATTTGGATACGATGTAATAATTAATAACCGTTACACAGAAAGTGATCTTGAAAATCCAAGGGGTTTGAATTCTTCCCTGTAGTCCACTGATCAAAGCACACTCCACTAAATGTGCCTGTCTTGTCTAGTTTTAAAGTTATTAACCCATTCATGTATTGTCCCGTTGCACATTATACGGATACATTCGAACAAATTAATTAATTAATTAAAATCCGTATGTAAAGCAATCTGGGAAACAAAGGGGTGTGCAACAGTCGCCATGAGCCCAAAATACTAAACCACCATGTCATCACAGCTGGAAGGACCTATTATATTAGCTATTAACACGATTTGGCACAAATCACAAAATGGTTTGAAGCGCAAAAACAATTGGTGTGCATCGTTGTCTGTGTACTTGACATCACAATTCTGTCATTAAAAACGCCCCACCTTCCATTAAAAGTCATTAAAGCTAGAAAACTGAATATCGAATATGAGGCTCTTAACCGCGGAAGAGGTTCAAGATATAATGTATGAAATACAATGAAATTCTTTCATAATGTAAAACACAGCAAGTCTTATAATGTCTCAAAGTCCTATTTCAATGTACATTTACATGAAAATGGTGCACAAAAACGGATGAAATTTTGTGGGGAAATAGCTGTAAGACCTTGGCTTTCACACGGTATGAGACTTCTGTACACAATTATGTACAATTCAGATCTTAGGCCTGTTAAACTTGGCTCATTACACAAAATAACATGGATTTCAAAGAACATTTTCATGAAAACGATACAATAGATGTTGACCAAATTTTGTTTTGCACATGAAATAATGCATAAACATTCATGGTTGGTTTGTGAAAAGGGGACAGTTGCCGCAGCCCCTAATTAAAACGCATTTTCTCTTCTGCCAGGTTAATTTGTAAGATTCACAGCGTGGATTAGGATCCCTGTCTCCTTGGTATGGTATCGTTTACACCCAGATGAACGTATCCAATAAGTAACACCTCTTTAGTTTGCTGTACAACATCGGAAAAAAAAAAAAACTTGACATGCATGAAATATTACAGCAGTCAGCAGGAACAGTTGAGAAAGCCATCTTTATTGCAATACCAAATCTTCATTTCAGAGATGCATATATATGAATACACATTAGGGGGTTTTAAATGCAAGAGATTAACAAAATTTATTCATCAATATTTCCTCCCCCTTTCCAACAGTGTGAGCAAATAGCTAAACTGAGCACAGCGTAAGAGAGACCCTGCATTCCCACCAGCCAGCCAGTCACGAGACTGCCTCGCTTGCACCGAACGTCTTGGAACCTCTCATCTGTTCCCTTTTACATAAAGGAGGGAAGCTAATAGATGCACGGGGGTGCAGACAAGGTTCAATAAGGCCACACGTACAAAACAGCATGTCCGCTACTGATGGAAAGCTCAATTTACCAATTTACCCCCGCCTTTCTTCCACCCCCATAACTCTGCTCTCCGGGAGACTGCGCTCGGAGAATACAGTGTGTGCTGCAAAACCTTCCCAGCCACCCAGTTTTCCCTGTAATGTATAGATCTTAAAATTTTATTAAGAAATGAGTACAAAATTAGACCTTCAAAGTACAAATATGATCTAACGGAGCTTTATAAGGCTATAATGTGTTTGTCTTGGCATAGCTCTTAAAGCACGCGGACAGTGTGTCACAGGGGCACCTCTGCGCTGCTTTGAACCCCCCCCCCGTCTCGCATTTCTAGCATGGTGCCCCAACGCAGCGCACCAGCGCAACGCAGAAACTGAAAAAGTTACAGCGAACGTGTTTGGCTGCCTAGCGCAGACTTCAGCTGCTAGCTTATAGAACGCGTTTCTGGCCACATGGTGTGTTTGGAAACATTTTATTGGACGTGAAGCAGGTCATGTGATGCGAAAGAATTAGGCCCCGGGTATTACTGCATATACGGTAATAGTACTGATTTACCTGTAGTTAGATTAAATACAGTACAACTCTTCGCATAAACTCACATTAGAAACACAGGTACAGAGAGAGGGTAAGGAAGCTATACTTTATCCATTACTATAAAAAGAATAAAATACATTACTCCAGATTGCAGTGTTACTTTGGTCTCCTTTGCATATTTTCCTTTTCCTTCATAATTCAGTTAGAAAAATAGATCCAGAAAGAGGAATAATTGGAATGTTTCCTTATAAAAATATCATTCAAAGTCAGACTCCAAAGAAAGATGAATAGGTTGTAAAGTTTGGCCCATGTTCATGTGTAGATGCATGTGTTTTGATTGTCGAGGGGGTATGCAAGTGCAGAGCTGACGGGAGAGAGCAGGGCCATTCAAATCACAGTGATAACACTGCTTATTTTCTAGCCTTCCTTTACCTGGGAGCCTCTGCGGCCAATCAAACTAACTACCTGGAAGAACTGAAAACACGGCCTGGATTTAGAATCGAGGTCCAGATTTGAAGCGCCCTGGGATAGATTGTCAGAGAGTATAGCGGAGCCTAGGAACAAGGATTAGATAATAAGTGTACTACAGTGCTGTGTCTGTGAATCAGTGTACGTGTTACAGTATTTTAGGTCGATGTCAGATCCATGAGTCTGCCTCAGGTACGAATGTGTGTAGGATTTATGCATGCAGGTCATCACAGCAGCCAGCAGGGGGAGCCAGATGACCATGTTGAAGGCAGACCAGCTCACTCTGGCTTCTCCGTTGGTTCACCCTTGGTCTCCGTTTCCTCGTCGCTCTCCAGTCTTGGTCGAGTGATTTTACGGAAATCGAACGGCAAGTTGCCCCTTAAAAAATATATATAGAAAAAATGAATTAACAGATGGACCACTGACATTGCAGAGGTCACGGGTTTGAATCTCAGGGAACACGCAAATTGTGACCCTTGCCTCTCGTGTAAGTCACTCTGGATGAAAGCGTCAGATGAAATGAGTATATGTGAATATGAAACATGTCCAGGCATCCCAGTGACCAGTGGGACATGACATTAACGGCCTTGCTCAAAATCCAATCGTAAAATCCATGCTAAACATGGGATTTGAACCGGCAACCTTCCGTTTGGAGTCCCAACCGGCAAAGCCACACACTGTCTCCAAAAACAGCACCAGAAGAGTGACACACGTGTATATATATGCAAATAAAAACACTGCTATATACCTGAGCTTGCTCTTCAGGCTGCTGACCTCACGGTTCATGTGGTCAGCAGACTCAGTTGCATCTTCCAGCTCCCTCTGCAGCTTCCTGCGATAGGCGTGCGCCCTCTGCGCCTCGTCCTCAGCCTCCTCCAGCTGCCGTTTCAGCTGCTTCATACGGTTGCTCATCTTCTCTGACTGCAGGGAGAGCCGCTAGCGTCAGAGTCTTGCTGCACAACTAAGCTTCTCTGGGGAAAAGCCAGCCTCCCCGTGTGTATATGTGCCTGGGAACTTCTGGGAAACTGATTTGTGTGACAGAAACCCCAATACTGTACTCCTCCATGCTGCACTTTCTGCCAGAATCCAATTCAGTTATAAAGTTTATGGGTCTAGGTGAGAAACTGCAAAAATGCAATAACTGCTAAACAGCTGTGACTTAAGATGTCCATCTATCCATTTTCTGTAACCACTTGTGCTAGTCAGGGTTGCAGGGGGTCTGATACCGATCCCAGAGGCTATGGGCGCAAGGCAGGGAACAACCCAGGATGGGGCACCAACCCATCGCAGGGCAAACACACGCGCCATTCAGCTCCAATTAACCTCAGTGTCTATCTTTGGACTGTGGGGGGAAACCTGGAGAACCCCCCCCCCCCCCACGAGGAGGACATGCAAACTCCACACACACAGAACCCTGGCAGAGTCTTGAACCCCCCAACCACTGCGCTGCTTCACCTTTGTGATTTTAAAGAAAAAAACAGATCAAAACTACTTTGAATATTTTTGGTGATATACTGAGAAAGTGATGAGCCATCTCCACTCCAAGCCCTGTTCTCGGTGACTGGTGTAGACCACTCACGGCCCCATTCTCGGTGACTGGTGTAGACCACTCACGGCCCCGTTCTCGGTTACTGGTGTAGACCACTCACGGCCTCGTTTTTAGAGGATTTTAACTCCCTTCTCCTGGCACTTGGCCGACAGGGTTTAATGTGACAGTTTTAGCCGCCTTCTAGCACACAGTGCATTTAGAACAGAACAAGCAGAATCACTGTAAAGTAGAATGACCTGGTCTTTGAACTGATCCGAGTTCCTCCTCTCATCATCCACCTGCAGAATGACCTCCTTCAGCTTCTTCTCTGTGCGACGCACCGTCTTGTTGGCCTGCTGTCTCTCCCTGAGTGAGCCAAGGAGAAGGTGGGGGGGGGGGAGGTCAGAGAGTTTTGGTAGCGAGCAAAGCTGTGAGATCCCAGCATATGCACGGTGACTCAAGCTCTCACCGGCTCTCCATCTCCAGCTGCTCCTCCAGTTGGACGATCTTGGCCTCCAAGGAGGTGATGGAAGCCTTGTACTTGCCCCTGACTGTATTCTCCAGCTCCTGCAGCTTCAGCTTCAGCTCCTTGTTCTGGCGATCCAACTGAGAGCGTGCCCCCTCCAGGCGCTGGGAGGTACTGCGCTCTGTGGTCAGCTCGATATTGGCTTGATCGAACTGAGGCGACAGGGATAGTATATTAAAGGGGGCATATTATGCTTTTCCCATTTCCTTTAGTATATTATATACCTTGTGAAAAAACGATCTACATTCCCTCCCTTTCACTGCTCCAACCCCTCCAAGCTCTCAGCACCTGCATTTGTATCTTCTTCATGCGATCGTTGAGGAGCTCCAAGGTGTTCTGCTCCTCCTCCAGCTCCTCCTCCAGCTCGCTGATGCGTGCCTCCAGCCTCCTCCTCTCCTCTGAATTCAGTGAACTGCATATTGAGAAAAAGGCGTGATTAGCAGGGTGAGACCTGCAGCGTCTCCAAGTCACTGGGTTTCCACACAAAGGCATCATCAACTGCAAATTCCTCTAAGGAGATTCATGGCTCTGCCCGGCCTTTGCCAGGCACTGCGCCTAGGACCACAGCCTCTAAGCAGTCCGCCTCACTCATGCACACGGCGATGCCTCACTTCTTGCCAGCCTGGCTGTTGATCTCCTCTTGCAGCTCGTCTCTCTCCAGCTGAGCCTGTCTCTTCATCCTTTCGGCCGCGGCCAGCTCCTGCATAGTCGTGCAGTGAGGAAAATCAGGACAAAAAATCCCTGGTCTACAGAACCCGCTGGTCTACAGATCCCGAAGCGAGTCACGCGGTCACACTGACCTCCTGCAGCTGGATTATGTCAGCCTCCATGTTCTTCACCTTCTTCTCATTCTCCTTGGACAGGGCCAGGATCTCCTCACGGGACAGGCGGGTGTCATCCAGCTCGCGGAGTACATCCTTCATCTGGGCCTAATATTGGGACAAAAAGACGTAAACTTCCGCATTCTGGGGAGGGTAGACATTGCTCCCTGCCGAGGAAATGGCACGTGGGACAACCTCAGGCCTCACTGCTCACCTGCAGCTTCTTCAGCTGCTTCAGGGCCTCTTCGCGGCTCTTGTTGGCAGCTTCGATGGCAGCTTGCAGGTCCTTGAGGTCCACCTCCAGCTTCCTGCGGGCTGCCACAGCGATCGTCCGTTGTTTCCGCTCATCTTCTAGCTCTACCTCCATCTCCCGCACCTGCATGGGGTGGCACAAAAGGTCAAGCGAAAATTATGTTTTTGTTCTCAGATTTGAAGAGGAAACGAGAGCAGGCCGTTCAGCATTTCCTACAGAAATCCACTGTAAAACTTCTCCAAACCCCTTGACCATTTGACCTGTTTTGGACCATATCCACCCGCAGCAGTGTGCTGTCTAAGCTTGACCTACATCTATAGCTGTTCCTCTGGTGTTCACCGCACCTGCTTGACCAGCTGCCTCTTCTTCTCCTCGCCCGTCTCATCTCTGCCCTGAAGGTCACGCTCGAACTGGGCCTTCATGGCTTGCATGTTGACCTCCAACCGCAGCTTGGCGTCCTCAGTGGCCTGCAGCTCGTCCTCCAGCTCCTCCAGCTGGGTCCTCATCTCCTCCAGTTGCTGCTCCATGCCTCGCTTGGACTTCTCCAGCTCATGGACCTGTGTGTACATAACACCTCATTGTAGAGTCCGCTACATAGAGAACACATACCTGCATCATGTACAGTACGAGTCAAAATTCTGGACACGTCAAGTCGCCTAAAAAGAAGAGTGATAGCGTGTTGCATCACATGGCCTGGCCACCAGACCAAAACACGTTAGAAGTGGTTCTGGAAGAGTTTGACCAGCGAGTGAAGGAAAAGCAGCCAATGAGTGCTCAGCATATATGTGGGACCTCCTTCAGGACCAATGGAAAAGCATCCCAGGAGGCCACCTTATGAAACTGGTGTAGAGGGGACAGTAGGGGCAGCCAGTCCCTGGAGCAACTGGGGTTAAGGACCTTGCTCAAGGGCCCAATGTTGAGATCACTCTGCCGACCGAGGGATTTAAACCGGCAACCTTCTGAGTCCCAACTCACAGATCAAAATGTAATTTTTTTAGTTAATGCTTTTTTTCCCAGTCAGTACATAAATCCATATATGATTTTATAGTTTGTATGTCTTTATAATAATTCTAAAATGTAGAGAACAATACTCATGAACTTTTCCATGTGGAAGTGTGTCTAAACTTTTGACTAGCACTGTATGTTTTTTTAAAAGTTGCCCAAAGCCTCCGCAGCACCACCCCACCCCAGACACAAACACTTACATTCTTGCCCACATCATCCTTTGAGGAGACCAGGTCCTCCATCTCAGCACGGAGTAGCTTGTTCGCACGTTCCACCTCCTCCTTGGAGTCTATGAGCGTCTCCAGCTCGCGGGCCAGTGCCAGGGCCCGCGTCTCCTTCTCCCTGGCTTCCGCCTCCGCCCGGTCCCGCTCCTCTGCATAGCGGCTCGAGATGGACTTCTCCTCTGCGAGCATCTGGGATTCATGGTGAAAACAGGAGGGGAGAAGAGAAGGACAATGGTATCAGTATTGTATTCCCACTATAAGGGGAACCAACTGTGTCATATCAAACAAACTTGTTTTTATGCAATAGGAAATGAGTAGTTGTTCAAGAAAAACTTTATTGCTGACACGCCAGAGTGACAGAACACCGAGATGAGAAATGTGCATGTAAATGGTCTGCAAAGTCTTACACCAATGGGTGTAACCTTCAGAACCAAGAGGAGAACAATTGATCAGGTGACTCACCTGGTCAAACTTCTTCTGCTTCTTCTCCAGGTTGGACACGATCTGCCTCAGGTGGTCCTGATCCACTGTCAGGTCGTCCAGCTCCTGCTGCAGGCGGGTCTTGGTCTTCTCCATCTTGTCGTAGGCGGAGCACTTCTCATCAAAGCGCTGGGTGATCCCTTCCACGTCGCGCTGCAGCCGTTTCCGTATCTCCTCCGTGTTTTCCAGGGTGCTCGCCTCCTGATCGGCCTTCTTCTTCACGTCGGTCAGCTGGGGAGAGGCCCGTGGTGTTTTTCTGACATTCGTAACACCTCTAACAGTACCTTTGCACAACTTTATCTGAATGTATTATGCAAGAAATACTGAGGAATATGCCGGAAGCTTCCTGGTGGATAAGATACTACTGATTGCATTTCCAAAATTTTCGGCCTGTCAAAATCTGTCGAGTGTGTCATATGGTAACAGAAGCAGGTGATCCCTCTCCAGTCCAACTCCACAGAACAGCAGTGAGCTACCTGAGTCTGCAGGGCGGAGATCTGCTTCTCGGCATTCTTCTTCATCTCTTCCTCTTCCTCCAGCTGCTCCCGCAGGCTGTGGTGCTCATCTTCCAGCTGCCGTAATCTTGTGGACTGCGACAGCTTCTGCCGCGTCTCCTCCGTAAGCAGCTCCTGTCGAGTGACCAAAGAGAGAGAGAAGGAGCATGAGAGAGAGAGAGAGAGAGAGATCCGAAAAACGACACCAGTAGCATAGTATGAACTGTGGTTTCCCATGGTGCCCCGGTGTACGATCACGGTCATCAACACACCAAACTATTTGCAACAAGCTAACTGATTTGATATAGTCTTAATTAAACCAGCGATGCTTTAGCATGCATCTGTGCCAAACCTGTATGTCCTGGAGCTGCGACTCCACAGAGGAGCAGTCTTTCAGGGCCTTGATGGACTTGCTGTCAGCCTCGCTGAGCAGAGTGTTGGCATTCTCCAGCTCCACCTGGGACATATTGGAACGAGGGTCAGAGGACAGGAAACAGAGGAATATTTTCCTAACTCTACCGCCCCGGGCTTTCAGGCCATTTGTACACAGATCAAACCATGAAACCCAAGCCACTTCTACATTTTAGCACATCAGCTCTTAGTCAGACCCAGCTCTGCCATCAGAACACCGTCGGAGGTGTCCTACCTGCAGCTTCGTCATGCGCTCGGACAGCTCGGTGCGGCTCTTCTCGCTCTCCACGAACTTGACCTGCAGCTCCTGCACCTGCGCCTCCGCCTTCTTCCTGCGCTGCTCCGACTCCGTCTTGCCCGACATCAGCGTCTGCACCTCGATGGTTAGGTCGTTGCGCTCGCTCTCCAGGGCCTGCTTGGTTTTGTCCACGGACACCTTGTTCTGAAAGGTGACAGAAAAGGGCAGTGTGTCACATAGGCAATGGCGAGGACAGCGGGGGGAATTCTGAAGGTACCACAGATACACAAAATACATACAAAAAATACACAGGGGGTCTGTGAGCGGGTGCAGGGGGTTGGCATAAATGCATCATAAACTGACATAAAAATTGTCAAGGGGGGACTCCCCTGCACGAGAAATATGAAAGCCCCCCCACCCCCAGGTGCCTGATTCTTAGTTTCCCATGTGATCACATGGGGGGGGGGGGGGGTCTGCAGCCCTGGCCTATTTTCATTTTGGGGTCCCTGGTTATAGGAAAGTTGAAAACCACCATCTTGAAAATCGGTCCGTGTTCTAAGAGTAATGGCCACAGTGAGCCTACGACCTTATATCAGCATCACATCAGGGTGAAAACGTGGACTCTCTGGCGGTCCCTGCAGGCGGGACTAAGAAATACGAGTTGATTTATATGCATTTTTAATTTTTATTCTTTTTTAGAAATGTAGAGTACTCTGCAGAAGTCTTGGGCCATCAAAGAAAACGATGCTCAGATGACCTTCATGTTGGAGCTAAATCTTATGCCCGTCGAAGCGTCCGGCACCTACCCGCTTGGCCTGTATGGTTATGGGAGCCAGTGGACCGGCACCTACCCGCTTGGCCTGTATGGTTATGGGAGCCAGTGGACCGGCACCTACCCGCTTGGCCTGTATGGTTATGGGAGCCAGTGGACCAGAACCTACCCGCTTGGCCTGCTCCAGCTGCTCGTTGAGTTCGTCGAAGGCTTGGCTGTGCTTCTGCCGCACCTCCATTAGCTGCTGCTCGTGGACCCGGGCGTCGTCCTCCAGTGTCTTCTTAAGGTGCGTCACCTCCATCTCGCGTTTGGTCCTATCAGGGCCGCAGAGAGGAGACTTAGCGGCGACGTCTCACATGAACCCACATTAACTGCAGCCAAATGGGTTAGGATTGACATTATTGTCCAAGGAGAGCGGGATGGCGGACCGAGCCCTGAAGTTGGGCAGGGAGAGAGTGGATTTCAGCCCCCACGAGATCAGGATCTTGGGGTAAAGATAAGAAAAATCCAGGGAGACACTACCTAAGCAGATGGCCTGCAGCACACACATATGTACGCCCATGTCTGATTCCAATACAGACATTCCCCTGTTTACGATGGTCTGTGTTAGGCCATACCATTCAATAAATTACATGAGATAACCAATATATATATATATTTTTTTATAAATTAGGCTTTGTGTTAATGATTTTGCCCAACTGTAGGCTAATGTAACTGTTCTATGCATGTTTAAGGTAGGCTAGGCTGTTTGTTAGGTTAGGTAGATACTGTATTAAAATCGGCTTACGATATTTTCACCAGAACGTAACCCCATTGTAACCTGGGGAGAGGCTGTATTTGAAACACACACACACACACACACACACACACACACACACACACACACACAGACACAGACACAGACACACACCTCAATGGTCCTGTAAATATTCTCCTCACTGGGTAGTATATGTGATCAATAGGCACTGCATTGCACTGCACTGGTTGATGTACATCCACAGCCAGTCTGGCACCACATCTCCACCCCCACCGGCTCCACACCTGAGCTCCTGCTGGGCCGCGGTGGAGTCCAGCGTGTCCTCCAGCTCCGTCTTCAGGGCCTCCAGCTCCTCGGCCAGGTCCCGCCGATGCTTCTCGGCCTTGGCGCGGGCTACCTTCTCCAGCTCCAGGTCCTCCTGAAGCTCGGACAGCTGTGCCTCCAGCTCACGGATCTTCTTCTGAGCTTGGTTCTTCTGGGCCGCCTCCTCTTCAATCCTGCGAGAGGAGGAGTTTCTCAGAGTTCTCTAGCAGACTCATGGATGTTTGATATGTCACTTATAACTACAAATAGTAACACACATACTGGAGGGAACTTCGATCTAAAATAAACCAGAAAGTTTAGTAAATTCTGACAGGACAAAAGCAGGCCGTCACGTGACCAGCACGGCTTCCCCACCTGGCCAGAGCAGCCTGCAGCTCCTCCTCCTTCTTGGCCAGTTGGGCACGAAGCTCGGCGATTTGGGCCTGCAGCTCGGCGATCTGGTCACTCTGCTCGGTGGAGTCGCCTTCCAGCTTGCGTCGGTTCTTCTCCAGCTCCTGCCGCAGCTTCTCCTCCTTGCGCAGACGGTCTGAAATCAGGGGTGAAAGGAAAGCTTAATAAGACAGGGACACGGAAAACAGATGGCAGGGGACGGAGATAACAGGTTAACAGCAGAGGAGTCCACCCACCCTCCAGGTCAGTGATCATTGCCTCATGTTTGTTCTTGAGCTTCTGCAAGCTCTTTGACTTCTCCTCCTCTTCCGCCAGGTTGGTGGTAAATTCGGAGACCCTCTCTTCCATAAGTTTTTTCTCCTATAGCCATAAGACAATATTTTGTGTTTACCTTGCAGACTGTGGGACTAATCTTCCACAAAGTATATGAGAACTTCAACATAGCTGCACAAATCCACTGGAATACTAGCCTGAGCTAGTAGCATGCTGATTAAGAAGCTCTGCTAAAATTAATCTTATTTTAAAGAGTCTGAAGTGAACGCCGAACCTTTTGGAGTTTGTTATTCTGGTCGTCCAGAATCATGACGTCCTCCTCAAACTTCTTCATCTTAGCCTCCAAGGTGACCTTCTCTAGCTGCAGCTTCTGCCTGGCCCCTTCCTCCTCATCCAGCTGCTGCTCCAAATCCTTCAGAAGGCAAAAAAGCTCAACACGTCAAGACCGGAGCCGTCAACAAAGCCCACGCCATGGTTGCGCCTCGCCATAGCGCCTTCAAGCGTCCTCGCTCATCTCACCGTGATGTTCTGCTGCATCTTCTTCTTCTCAGTCTGCAGGTGGTTGGCCCGCTCCTCCTCCTCCTCCACGCGGGCCTCCAGGTCGTGCAGGATCTCCTCCAGCTCCTGCTTCTTGGACGCCAGCCGGGACCGCATCTCCTCAGCCTCGGCGCACAGCTCCGTCTCCGCCTGCAGCTGCTCCTGCAGGGCCTGCTTCTCCGCATTCAGCTGGGGACGGCAAGGGAAAGGTAGGTCACTAACTCAGGGTCAGCTCAGTGTCTGCGGCCGGCCGTCATTCAGATGGTCGTGTGCAAAGACTTTATTTCGTTACGGTAAATAAACCCTCAATTAATCCTCAGGCTGCAAGCTTCTCATTCTGGACATATTACCTCTGAACTTACCAGATCTTCACAGCACATCAACCATCTACTGCTCCCACAGCCGCCTGTGTCGTTCGTACCTGCATGTGTTTCTCCTCCATCTCCTGCATCACCCGCTCCGCATTCAGGTGCTTCTCCTTTATCTTCAACAGCTCCTCATCCTTGGCCTGCATCTCCTCCTCCTGCCTGCTCACCTGCAGCAGTGGCTTCACCTGGGGGGGGCGATTCACACAGCACATCGAGCGTCTTTCCAGGAGCTCAGGGACACCCCCCGCAGCACAGAGTGGGACTAATTTTACCAGGAGTTTGATGCCCAGGACCAGTGCATTTTCTCTTTGTTTTGGGGGAACTTTGATAAATGATGCTGTCTTATTATTCCGATAACTTCACTACTGACATTTCAAGAAGAAAATAACACACTGAACCATTAAAGCGGTCTGGCTTTTTCAGCCCCGCCTGGTCAATTTCTAACACCCATCGTCTGAGAAACTTCTAGTGATTAGCGATAGCAAGCGATTAGGCACCGCGCTCGAGCGATCAGACAGACTCGCGTGTTTTTTCTATGTCGAGAAATCAACCATTTGTTGTCCCCGTGGGGAAATTCTTTTTTACGCCTCCCTCAACTTTGCAGAGTAAGCTGTCCGCGAAGGGCAGCCACCCGTAGCGGCGCCCAGGGAGCTGGGGGTTAAGGGCCTTGCTCAAGGACCCGCAGACGAGCTGAGGCTGAGTTTGAACCGGCGACCTTGTGATTACAGGCACACAGGCTTAGCCCACTGAACCACACGCTGCCCCCAGTAACCCACTTCTGATTGGCCAGCCCGGGCCTGGTACATGGGGAAGACACGGCAGTGACAAGCCAATACCATCACTGTCGCAGTGGGAGCCGACGGCGTCCAGTGCAGACTTACCTTGGTGAAGAGTCGCCACCACTGCCAGTTCCTGAGCTTCAGGTAGGCCGCACAGTTCCTCTGGATCACTTTCATGGCAGTGAGCTGCTGCTGCCTCTTAGCAAACGCCCTGAAATATGGGCAAGGGCCAATTATCCAAACTGTAACCAGCACCGAACAAAGAACCTTCATATTCATGGAACTTAAGACGAGTGGCTGCGTCCGAAGTCCTCACTTGCGGGCAACGTAACCGCGGCACCAGGCCTGGAAGGTGATGATGACGTCTGTGATCTTCATGTCACGCTCCTCCTCCAGGTGGGCAAGCACACCAGCACGGAAGAACACTTTGCTCTGGCCGATCCGGTACAGGTTGGGGTCCAGCTCCAGGGCTTTGATCTGAGCGGAACAAGAATATATTTAATGAATGGCTAAAATGCATACACACACACACACACATTCATTGTTCTATAGTCTTTTTCTATCCCTTTGCAAAAATGCAAGCTGAACTTTCTCATGGTTGAAGCACTACTTGCTCCTGGTCAACCGGATGTGAGAAGGTCAGGCATGAAGACACTCACCATGAGCACACAAGCCTGTTTGCCGTCCATGAAGCCCTTTGGAATGGCGTTGGGGGTGAGGATTTCGTACCTGGAGGTGAAAGGAGATGCAACAATGATGCACAAACGACTACATCTGGGTCGAGCGCAGCAAGCCGAACACGACGACAGAAAACCACAACGAAGCAGCATCTGTGCAGCTCAGAAGCGCGGCCGTCCTCACCTCTGCCTGAACTCCTGAAAAACGATCCGGTTGGGGAAGCCCTGCCTGCAGATTCGGATCCCCTCCAGAACCCCGTTACACCTCAGCTGGTCCAGAACCAGGTGGGGGTCCAGCTTCCCGGCCTGTAAAGTTGCATTCAGTTTTTTTAATTGTCGCATCAATGTTTGTCGTCTTGCCAATGAGCCTGTGCTATTGTGGGTGAGGAGAAGCTTTTCCCTGTAAGGAGTTAGTTGATTTTTAAATGAGATTAGATGTCCTCACTTGGCACAGAGTCTTTTCATTCAAAGAACGGTGCCAGCATTTAACTCAACGACACGATGCAATCACTTGAGTTCCCCCAGGAAGACATATGCAATGTTTTGGCATGTGGTTTTCCATCTCCCCTCAAAAGCCTCAAGCAAGAGATATCAATCTGCTCTTGGCACATTCTAAGTGTTTCTAAGCTTGAATAACTGCCAGATAACCGACTCGGTGACGGATGTGCGGCTGAAAGAGAAAGGGGCCGTTTAGCGTTGGGCACAGATGCTGTATACTGCATGACAGCTTGCAAAAACATCAGGGCTTAATCTGTAGTCTTTAGGACCCTGAAGACGACTGTTTGGAACGGGGTGGGCTTCACCTTCTTCTCGTGGTTGGGGATGATGCAGCGGACGAAGTTGGGGTTTGTGTTCCTCAGCGTGGCCATCAGCTTGGACAGCTGCTCCTTGTAGAGCTGGCCCACCGTGCGGAACATGCCCTTGCGTGTCTTGAAGGCCCCGGGGATGGACTCCGACATGCCGGCCACCTTGTCCAGGCCCACGATACGATCCACTGGGGGGGGGGGGAGGAGGTTACGTGCAAGGAAAGGGGGGCAGTGTTACTGACTGGAAATCAACTCCAGAACATCCTCATGAGGATGAAGACATCAGTTCAGAATCCACACGCCTCTCGCTGTTACAGGCAGAGTGAGATGGTTGGTGAAGACAACAAAAAAATAAAAATAGTGACCAAATGATAAACACAGAGTGAGCGGGGCGGCGGCGGGGGGAGTTCACAAGGGCAAAGCGTGCGGCACACGAGACCAAGCCAAAAATGCAGTGAGGAAGTGGTGTGTGTTCAATACTACTGAGCTGTGTGCTTCGTGACACTGCATTCTGGTAACACACCACATGCAATAACTCTCATTCAGTAAAGTCCTGCACATTTTTTAAACCCTTATCAGCCCTGACTTAAAGCAGTGATGGAACTTACAGAAATGCATAAAACTTTAGAATTAAGGTTTTAAAACAGCATGTATCCTCTGAAACTGATTTCTTTTCATCTGTGAGCATATACCCATTTTGCACATGTGCGTGTTTTTGTGTATTTGCACAGTGGTCAAAAATAAGAATAATCACACCCATGCAGTATATACCGGTTGCTGCAGTACTGTATGACCAACACCAGGGGGCCCAAACCACACTATTACACAGAAGGAGAAGGAAGAGAGTTCAGTGGAAGAAGAGCAAGGTCCAACTCAGGGGAAAAAAACTACAGGGAAAAAAAACGCCTGAACTACTTATGACGACACACTGGAAATATCAGACGGGAGCTACACTGCCGAGGAGAGAGACAGCTACTGATCTGCATCGAAACAGAAGGGAGAGAGACGTCAAGAAGCAAAAAAACGAAAGATCACCTGAGTCTAGGTGAAGGATAGGAGAACGCTGATAAAAATAGGCTCTCTGACAGTTCAGTACCTCTAAGTGTGTGAGAGAGGAGGAACACAGGAAATAGGATAGAGCAGGACAAGGCAGAAAAGAGGCAAGGAGGGGGGACAGGCAAGATGGATACCACAAGAGAGAGAGATCAGAAGAAGCTGAAGAGAGAACACACACAGGGTGCAGAGGGGCGCACTCCGACACCGGAGTGACGCGGCACAGGTTGCAGAGGGGCGCACTCCGACACCGGAGTGACGCGGCACAGGTTGCAGAGGGGCGCACTCCGACACCGGAGTGACGCGGCACAGGGTGCAGAGGGGCGCACTCCGACACCGACACACTTTCAAAACCTTTATTAAATTGAACTGAAATTCTCTGACACAAGGTCTTGATAATGACCAGTAGGTGGCGTTGTGACTTTCATGTACAGATGTAGGCTGTTTAAATACTGTGCCCATCTGCTTACCGTCTTTCCACAGCTCAGACATAAACTTGTCCGAGGACTGGTTAAGGAGCGTGGCCACGTTGTCATTCAGAGGGTCCATGTTCTTCATCAGCCACTCATCTGCCTTGTAGTCCACCTGGGTGGGGGGTGGGGGGTGGGGGGGAGAGCAGACATGAGAAACTAATAGGACACTGATCTTCTGTACACCTATACCTCCAAAACATCTAAGAAGCAGTGATGATCAATGACACCAACGTCGCACAGAACACACGTTATATATGGGGGATCTATTACCTTGCCGGCATAGTGCATGATGCAGAAGTCGGCTTCATCCTTCAGTTTCTTGGGCTTGTGGAACTTGGGGTGGGTGCCCTGTTCCTGGCCCACCTTCTCCACGAAGCTCTTGTCTGTGGCCTTGGGGAACCAGCACTCCTCGTCCAGCAGGGCCAGGATACCTGGAGGGTTTGTCTGCAGTTCAGCGTAAGAACAAGAGCACCGAGAAGGTCAATGAACATCAATCCGTGACGATCCAAGATTACCAGTAACTTCAAGACACCTTGTCTGACAGATCAGAGGCTCCCTCAGATTACAGTCCTCCTGATATATGAGAACTGAGATTAGGTATCTTGTGATAGGTGAGATTTCACCCTCAAACAGAGAAATACATGAACAGGAGGTCTCTGTAGCTTATAACAGACCTACACAGAGACTCACACACACTGACCGGCCGCTCGATGAGGTCGATGCAGGGCTGCAGGTCGAGGCCGAAGTCGATGAAGCTCCACTCGATGCCCTCCCGCTGGTACTCCTCCTGCTCCAGGATGAACATGGTGTGGTTGAAGAGCTGCTGCAGCTTCTCGTTGGTGTAGTTGATACACAGCTGCTCGAACGAGTTCAACTGCAGGAGGAAACAAGGAGAAGATCAATGTACCCGCTGAGTTTTAATACCCTGAGAGACCATCAATACTGCAAATTGGTAGGATAGTTAGATAATATGCCAGGATTGTCCCAGCTTTTATTACACAGACAGCCTCTGAACATTGAGTATGTTAGTCCTGTGATTCCCAAACTAGTAATCTGAGACTAATGCTTGTACACATTTGTTCGGTTCCAGATCTCCATATTCAAGCATTTGGCTTAATTATGAAGCTTGATGATTCCGCAAAGTGTTTGCTCACACGAGGAAGAAGCATGAACACAGGAGGAGAGCAAACCGCTCCTGAGCCGCTCTTGCAGTAATACCTCGAAGATCTCGAAGCCGGCAATGTCCAGGATACCGATGAAGGAGGCGCCCTGACGCTTGGTCTTGTCCAGGGCCTTGTTGATGCGCATGACCAGCCAGCGGAAGAGGCGCTCGTAGGTGGCCTTGGCCAGAGCCTCCACGGCGAACTCGGCCTGCTCCTGCGTCTGCGCCTTCTGCACATAGTCGCGGCCCACCTTGATGCGCGGCGACAGGATGGAGCGCGTGAAGTCGGTCACGTTCATGCCCATCAGGTGGCAGACTTTCTGAGCGGCTGTGGGGAGGGTGTTAAAAGAGGAGGAGTTAGACCAGGGGGGCGGCCTTTCCAGGGATAGGAGCGGCTGCAGGGTGTACTGTACTGGGGTGCCAAGTATTAATTAAATGTAACCGACACTTCCATGGAAAAATCCTCCCTTCCCAAAGTCGTCGTACTTCAACTGGTTTCAACAAGCCCTGCAAAGCATTGTGGGATGTGGCACAAAAAAAAAAAAAAACACAGCAAACGATGCCAAAGTCTCCCAAAGAGCAGGAGGTGCTGGTGGAGCGAGTTACCTGTGTCGTCGGGCATGGAGGCCTGGTCTGAGTGACGTTCCTTCTTGAAGGATATGTTCCCCAGCTGGAGCACGGCTGATACCACCCTTAGCATTCCTGATGGGGGAGGACAACGGGGAGAGGCGAGCGTCACGCGACACAGAACACCCGGGGAAGCCAGAAGCTAATGGAGGGAGACGTGGATCTTTGTTACCTATCTGCTCATCTTCTGGGATGCTCATGATCTTCATGGATTCCATGGTCTCGGTGTAGAGGTCCTTGTCCTGTTGACCGGGGATGGTCACCAGACCGTTGGACAGGAAGCGGTACTTGTTGAAGCCCTCCAGACAAAGCTCCGCTATTGTGGGGAGGGACAGGTGGGAGAAGACAGGTATGGGGGGTCAAATGCAGCCATTACAGGCCCCTCCAGAAGGGGATGTGACCCATGTGCCACAAAAAAACACACAAAAGGTGAAAACTGTCACTACCGAACCACTAGACGACAGCGGAGATGTGGACCATTCAGTCATAAGACAGCTGTTACAGAAGTGAATTATTGTGAAAACAAGCACGACTGGAACAAACTACTGCAACAGATAAAAATCGCGAGCATATCAAGCCAGTTTCAAAAACAAAAATCAGTCAACGGCAAAGATCTGGGCTGCCGCTTATCTCTCTTTTTAGCTTTGCTATCAGATATGCCTAAAGAGCCAATTTATCAGTTAATCGTCTAAAGGAGGTTCCGGTCTGGTGCGAGGCAAGCAGGTTTCACTAGATCAATGGCCAGTGCCAGAATGCGTGCACAAGGTTCACACAGAGATCACGACTGCAGACGCCTGAGGTATAGAGGACAAAGGCCTTGCTTTAAGGGCAGGAGGCGAGCAAAATAAACGAACACAAAAGGAGGAGTGAAGCCGCTGCAGATTACAACGTTACACGTACAGCGTAACTTGTCCCCTGCTCCTGACAGCATGTAGTAGAACATGTGAAATGTCCTCTCGTCCTTGGCCTGCCGAATGGCGCGTGACTTCTCCAGTAAGTCTGTCAGAAATACTGTCAAGGAAGGCGTGGACGAAACAGACATCTGGCTGCAGACAAACATGAAGAGGGGGTGGGGGTTGGGGGGGGGGGGGGGGCGGTGAAGCCCACATACTTTACCATTAATGGACATGTGTACTATGTAAACCTTAAGGCCGGAGCTGTTGTTTTCGCCTCGTCACCACCCCCTTTCCCTTTAAAACAAACAAAATCTCTGTTCTCTGCAGTGTGGAATTTCGTTCGACTGCAGCACAGGAAGTAAGACTACAAGCAATATTTACAACGCAGAAAAAAAAAAGGAGTACACATTGAACTGTTCCTCCAAACTTCGGGGGATGTCTATAGGTTGCAATTATAAATGGCAAGCTGCCACGGCGAGGATACAGGTCTCGATGTTTGCTCCGACTATGTAACCGTTGACGTCGAAATTGATCCTGATGAATTTTCCCTGCAAGAGACAAGTACACGATTTTTGCCTTCATTTTAATTATTATTTAGACACAGAACACCACAACGCAGTGCCGAATCCTTACGAATCGTGAAGAGTTGTCATTCTTCACTGTCTTGGCATTACCAAAGGCTTCTAGGATGGGGTTGGCCTGCAGCAGTTGTTTCTCCAGCTCCCCCTGGTGGATACATAAGGTACCAAACGCCATTACATGCAACTTGGTTAACTGGGGTCAGGGTTGGGCTTGTTTTTTTTTTTTCTTCCATTTTATTCAGTACACCTGCAAGCTGAAATTCTTGTGTTTCTGAACAAATTCAAGGCAAAAAACATTCCACGAGCACACTGACACCGACTTGAATCGGTGACACAAAGGTCACCACCTTCCACCTCACCAACGGACCGCTGACCTACCTGGCACATCACACCACGGCGCCCACGCTCACACCGGCGCCCACGCTCACACGCTGCCATGTTAGTGCCCACGCCCCGACATCCCAGAGTCGACTCAGTCACTTCCCTGTGAGTGTCCCATCACCGCCGGCCCAGAGAGTGACCTTCAACCCCCATGCAGAAGAGCCCACCACGACGCACTGCGGTGTCACGACCTTTGACCTTTGCACTGCGTGAAACCTGAACAGTTTACACACCAAATTATAAATGTGAGCCAAGCATAAAATGCTACATAAATGTAGCCTTTGTTTCTTCATAATGCAAACACACCACTTGCTTCCCACTGGACTATATAAGCAGAATCTATTATATTCTGCAGTGTTTTCTTGCATTCTTGTCGAGATGGTGAGTTGGTTTATCATCACGGCAGAGGAGTCTGAGAGGCAGGTGACCCAGCAGGGATCAACGCCGCATACTGGCGGCTTCCGGTTACCCCAGACATTAAGATCTGACACACAGACACCCAGAACACGTAGAGGAGCAGAGAGGACAGAGGAAGGGCGTCTGTTCGACAGGCGGCAAGGCACACATTTGAGGCGCTGATCGGCTGCAGGCGAGATGGGCGGCCGGAGGAGACTCCCCGAGAAACACGGGCGCGCAAACACGCGTTACAGAGGCACCTCCAGAAAACCCCAAAAAAGGCACATGAACGCTTTGCACAAACAGACCAACGAGACTGAACTCACACAGACAAGAACTGCAGATGGGACGAAAGCGTCCTTTCCTAACCATAGAAATACACACATTCACTCAAACAGAGGAATTAATTACCAATACACTGAAGTTACCTTGGTTTATACACATTCTTGTCTGTGTGAATTCTCTGCCTTCCCTTCAAGATAACGCTTCCCACTTCCTGTCTCACCCCCGTCATGTGACCTGAACATCCTCATATCTGACTAACCCACCATATAGACACAAGACATCAGCAGCGGTGGCAAGAAAGACAGGAGAAAGTGGAGGAGGGGGGGCGAGTAAAAAAATTAAGAAAAATGTTTTAAGGAGCGATGTTGTGGAGAAACTCACATGGGACAGCACGCTGGCGTTCTGGATGGAGAGAGAGAGAGAGAACCTCAACAACACAGCTCACTGCAAAGGCTTCTGGTCAAAGTACATTCTGGGAAGCCCGGCAGAGTCCCAGCTGTCCTACAGCAGCTGACCCAGAGACACGGCGGCTCGGCCAGGAGAGTTAGCCTGTCCTCAGGACAGCAAGTCGCGCACGGCCATGCGAAGGGGCCGCTTTGGACACGTGCCACCAAAAACAAGCTACATTTTGACCGGAATTCTCCAGTGAACAACGGAAGTTTGAAAAAAACAGTTCTGAAGTTGTGCATATGGACTTGCAGACGCCTCATTATTTTAACATTGTAACTTTTCTTAAAGGTGCGTATTAATCACCCGACAGTTTGACGGGTGTCAAATAACATGTACTAGTGTCTGACAGTAACAGTGAATGAATGAAGGTAGACATCAGTTATCTCACACACACACACACACACACACACACACACACACACACACACACACA